TTAAAAACAAAAAGCAAAGGAGTAACCTAACATGGAGAACCCAATCCATGAACCCACTACCCCCGAAAAGCGGTGAGGAAACAGCACCACAAGAGGACGGGGGATCAGGATGTCCAAAGGGGGTCTAAAAACAAGGCAGGGTCAGAGGGGGTGCGGTATCAAAAAAGGGGGCCCCCGGGGGAGTGGGTTCATGGATTGGGTTTTCTCCAGGGTTAGGTTACTCCTTTGCTTTTTGTTTTTAAAAAAAAAAAAGAAAGAAGAAAAATAAAAATAAAAAAAAAAAAGAATAAAAAAAGGGGGGAGCGGGGAGGAATATTTTCCCAGGAGGAATGAAGGGCCGGAAATCTCCCTCCGCGCCCAAGAGGACCTCAGAAACCGCTAGTAGGGCAGTTTGCAGCAGGGAAACCCCGTGCCATACCCTACCCTTCATGCCAGTAAACCAGCAATCCGGGTAGCAACCTCACATCTGCTGAGCTACCTGGGTGGACAAAAGAAGGGCGGCCGGATATCCGCCACAAAGCATACCTCCTTCGGCCACCACCCCCGGAATCCGAAAGGTGGCTTCCAGAGATACACCCATCGCCCGAAAGACACCCTAAGCTACTCCGGGGTACCGGAGAGGGATCGGGACATCCCCAGGCGATCCAGATTCCACGGCAAACTACGCCACCGCCAAGAACCTCAACGGAATGGGATGGACCCCGGTATCCTTTCCCCTACCTAGGAACTAGCGCGCCTGTGGGAGAAATCCCAAAGGCCAAAAAGAGGAAGGGCAAAAGGGAGGGGTGGGGAGGAGGAGGAAAGGAAAAAGGGGAGGATGGGATAGGGAGGGGGGGATTGGGGGGTAATTAGGTTCGGTCTGAGGAAGGAGACCGACAGGTCTGATTCCTCAGACCAAGAGCCTCTTCACCACAGCAAGGAGCCCCCCTTGAAGAGGACTGTACACCAAAGCAATGTTTCAAAGGTGCTTTGACATAACCTCAGACTCTGAATTGACCCTAAGAGAGTTCTGGAGGGATCACTTCAATATCTTCCACTGCATAAGCCTTATAGATAGGGCTTGGCAGGGAGTGACTTCCAGGATGATGAACTTTGAAGGGTTTGAGGTTGACCCTGAAAACCCTATGCCGGTTGTGCAATCTATGGTGGCATTGGTGAATTCCATGGGGTTGGGTGTGAGTGGCCAGGATGTGGAAGAGTTGGTGGAGGACCACAATCAAGAGCTAACTACTAGTGAGCTGCACGAGCTTCATCTGCAACAGCAACAGACCAAAGCTCAGGAAATTGCTTCAGAGGAGGAGGAAGAGAGATGGAAGAAGGTGCCTTCCTCAGAGATTAAAATGTGTATTAAGGAGATTTCTGCAATGTGGAGTAGGGCACATTCATTTGTGGAGGAACATCACCCTGAGCAAGCTGGTGCAATCCGTGCCAGCAACTTTTACAATGACAATGCCATGTCCCATTTTAGGCAAATCTTAAAGAGATGCCAGAAACAGACCTATCTGGACAGATATTTTGTGTGAAAGGGGTCCAGTGGCTCTCAAGTTGATCCTAGTGGTATAAAAAAACAAAGAAGAGAGGTGACCCCAGATCAGGACTTGGTACCTAGAGTCCTTATGGAGGGGGATTCCCCTTCAAAAGAATAACCTCTCTTCCCTCTCCCCTCCTCCCTGTCTTCCATCCACCAACAAGTCTTCAATAAAGGTAAGTGTCATGTTGAATGTTCATTCTTTTGTGCATGTAAATCTATCTTTAAGGTAAAAAACATTTTTTTTTTTTGTTAATACTTCTGGGTGTCTGAAACGGATTAATTGGATTTACATTATTTCTTATGGGGAAAATGGTTTCAGTTTTCGCCAGTTTCCATTTCCGCTGAGCTCTCTGGAACGGATTAAACACGAAAACCGAGGGTCCACTGTGTGTTCATTATTTTCGGTGTTGAAAATATTTTAAGATTAGCAATACAGTACTGTAACATTTATGTATTTTTAATTTTGCATAGTGTTTAGGACTAGCGCTCTTGTGCTCTTAATAATAGTGTAAACATGTTTTTACATTTTTATATGCACTGGTAAGTGAAAAAGAAAAGGCTGTGATTCACTTTAAGGTGATATTCGCTTTACAGCTGTGGTCTGGAATCTAAACCACCATATTAGCATCGTATGCCTGTATTTTAAAAGAAGGAAAGGGAAGGGGGGAAAGGGGAGGAAGATGGGGGGTAAATGACCTCACAAATACTGTAAACTACTTTACACACACACACATACACCAGGCCTAGTGTCTAATTGACATGTGCCTAGGACGAAATGGTAACTAACACACACACACACACACATACATCAGGCCTAGTGTCTAATTGACATGTGCCTAGGACGAAATGGTAACTAACACACACACCAAAAAAAAAAAAAAAAAAAAAAAAAAAAAAAAAAAAACTGACTGACTTCAACATTGACATTGGAATCTACTGACATTATCACTGACACACCCTGGGTCAACAACAATCTGGCCTTTATCTTTCATCTGATGTCAACTAGAGCATTGGACATCTTCCCAATTTAGTAGAAAAAGGAGTCTTATGACCCATAAAATTGTCTATAATTTATTTTTTTCTATCTAACATGAAGGCTAACAGTCAAAACAAACACAGCCTATACGTTTTTTTATGCTGCTTAATCCACTGTCAAAATCTCGATGAAATCTGACAAAAAAAAAAAAAATTGGTGATTTCACTCGCCCCTAACTTAAGTTTGAGTACCGAGGTTCTACTGTATTTATATGTTTTGCTCAACACTGGGCTATGTCATGCAACTGACAAATACGAGACGACGACATGTAATTCAAAGGTCAACGGTCCCAAAATATTCGCTTGACACCTCCCAAAATTTTTCTTCTCTACACTTTTCTCAAGCCTAGGTGCATAAACCCTTACTATAATCCACTTATCACATGCTAGCTTTTATTTTAATTCCCCTTTTTTTCTTTCTATAGTTGACTATTTAATACCGATACTTTTTTTCCCCTCAAGATACATCCGATCTATTCTCATTTACTCCTCCCAAATGAAATTCTTCCAACCCATTTTAGCTTTATTCTATTTAGTGCTAGGACACTGAGCTTATTTTCATTCATAACCTTAACCCTTCAGATATTTTCAATGTACTAGTAAGCAGGTAGACCAAACAGTGTCCCACATACCTGTACTCATAATTTTTGTGATTTCACATATGCTGTCTGCTACCATTTTAGCTCTCAGCTCAACTGTTTGGGTTGCCTACCACCTCTTCATACCTGGGAAAAATTCTAGGACAAGCTGGGTCCACACAGGGCATCATACATAACAGTGTCACAGTAGCACATGTAAATAATGCAACCAAGACATATCATGCCACCACCAGCCTTCATGCCAGTAAAACAGGGTATGGAACTGACGGGAAGATGCCTTATTTGCTCCTAATTTATTACAATTTCATAACGGTGAAATTCAGCCAAACAACACACTATGTAGATTAAATCCGAGATAACTAAAGTCAATGTGATTCATTTGCATATTAACCCTTTGAGGGTCCGTCCCGTAGATCTACGGCTTTACGCTCAGGGTCCAAACCGTAGATCTACGTCATGAGCTCAGCTCACTCTGATAAACTGTGAGTGGTACATTTGGGCCTAGATATGAGAGAATACATCTATGTGGTATGTGTGCACAACATAAAACAGATCCTGCAGCACGTTGTGTATAACGAGAGAAAAAAACTGAAGTCATGATTTTTCAATTAAAACAGCGACTTTGCAGTGTTTTTTCGTATGTTTTTTATAGTTCTATTTGCGATTTCTTGGTCTCATTTGATAGAATGGAAGACATATTACAGAAATAGAGATGATTTTGATTGGTTTTAGCACTGGAAATGGCTTGAAACTGAGCTCAAAGTAGCAGAAATGTTAAATTTTTGCCGATATTCAAGAGTAAACAAACGACCTCACACGTCTAATACACGCCAGCTGGTGGGTCTAATATGCATTCACAAATATGGTGATGATATTTATACAATTATTACAGTATTGCATAACAGTAAATCTTCTATTTTTTGGTGTGAATAAAAATTCATTATGTGAATAAAAAATCAAAATGGAATTTATTTGTAAAGCTGCAAAACATAACTAATGAATAGAGGAAATGTTAGTTTAGTTCCAGGAATACCTACATTGTTTATTCTGGACCCTATTTTGAAATTGGAATATTTTGAACTTTTTGTTAAATTGGCCAAATTAACAATTTCCGATCACTTTAATTTGTAGTTGAAACAGTTGACTTGGCGATCTCTTGTGCTCAATCGATAGAATAGAAGTAATACTAGCGAAATAGCTAAGAATTTGGTTGACTGGAATAATGTAATTGGCCTAAAATGGGAGTCAAAGTTGGCAAAATCACCGATTCGTAAATATCGCTGACACATCAAAATTCGCGAGAGCATAATTTCGTCAATTTTCCATCAAATTTCGTACTTCTTGTTTTATTACCTTCACAAAAAGATTCTCTACCATTTCATAAGAAAAAATAACAAATTTTTTTTTTGAAAATTCTTGGACACTGGGGCACCACTTCAGATTTTGGCCTTGGACCCTGAAGGGGTTAAAAGGAGTATCACATCTTTTAACAATTGTGTTAAAAGTTTTAACAGACAAAAACAATCAACAGAAATAAAAAAAAAACAATTATTTGAATCAATTTATAGTGAGCACTGCAATTGGGACTTTGGTGTTCTATGCATCTGTGCATGTCTCAAGTCTAGGGGACTTAAGGAGTGAATCAAGAGGAAGGGTAATCCTACAAAGTACTAGTTTAGGTAAGAAACACACACCTATTTCAGTATTATATTTATATCTAATCCTTAAACTGTCCAAACGTAGATCTATGTTCGCACTCGTAGCGCTCCGAATGTAGATCTACGTTCGATTTTAAATAAAAAAAAAAAGTAGATCTGCGTTCGGAGTGCTTCGCATGCAAACGCAGATCTACGTTTGGACAGTTTAAGGGTTAAACCGACAGGTTATGATGAGCAGTCCCATTTTGTGTGATCTGCTTATGCACATGCATATTTATGATGCCTACCGCACAGAAGCAATCATTTAATCTAGTTATACACTGATTCAACCCTCACAATGGCTTGTGAGAACACTTAACACTACAACTCCATTAACCCCTTAACTATGGGACATCCAAAAAATAAAATTTCTGTGTGCGTAAAATTTTGGAGAAAAAAAAAAAAAAATACATGTTAAAAGGACAGTTTTCTGAGCTGAGTAAGACTAAAATGAGCAGAATCTGATAAAAACTTACTGTTTTATGGTCTGTTGAAGTTAACCTAAACTGATGCTCTGTTGGCAACAATGACACTAAAGTGTCAATTTATTTTATGTTTCTGGTTTTTCTAAACCAAATAGTGAGATTTTTCCTTTTCATGTACTGGTTAACACTAAGTGCCACACTTTGCAATGAAAATATCCTGATTTCAAGCAAAAATAATAGTTAAGAATATCAATATTCACTATACTGTATGTACAAAATCAAGGTTTATCTTACATCTAAGGACTGTTTTTGTCATGCAATACTATGTACAGGTTTTTATTGCTTTATTAGAACTGTTTCAAGGTAAGTTATTCCTCAAAACATGGCTTGGGGCACAATGGAATACCACACAACTGACAGATATACATGTATAGTATATCTGTACATTTGCTTGACTTTCTGTTTGTGTGCTGACATACATATATAAAGTTTCTGTGCCTTCTTCTATGTAGCAGAAACAATATCCAAGAAGAATGTACCAGGCTTCAGCCAAAATGAGACATTTTTCACTACCATGGCAGCAACATAATGGGAGAACCTTCACCGGAATATTCTATTCATGTCTACGATAGCTAAATGGAAATTGGCCAATCTGCATTTTCATCCTGTTTTTATTTGGAACATATACAAGTTGTATGCATTTGGCACTGCAACATCCAATTTGCATGTCCGATTTGTCTACTGAATGTATATTAGTACTGTAGTTATTGACTGCAAGTTTTTACAATAGGTTTATTTGTTTGCCAGTCAATCTTTCCAGTTTCTTTCATTTGATACCTAAGTATGGTCGTCAACACTGTCACACCTTAAGTCATATCATTGAAATGCCATCATGTCAAGGTAGGAAGTACCTATATGTACTTCAGTGGAACCCAGTAATTTCATGAATGATGGCATATGTTGTTTATTTCCTCTCACTGTCTCGCACATATCTGCGGTGTTCACCTTGAGAAAATCACAAAGATCAGGGCTTGTGTACTAATTAATTGTGAATAAGGTATGATCTTACCTAGATGTGCTCCATCATATTCCTCAACTGCACCAAAAGTCCTAATGTGTCACGTATATTTTCAAATATTTGCTTTTCTGTATATACATTAACATCAAGCTCTAAACTACTTTCAAAATCACACACTACAAAAAGTTTGATAACAAACCAATGTCGTTTGCTTGATATATAAGTCTTGAAGGAAAGTCTTCCTATATACAGCCTCTCCTCACCTAACGACGGAGTTCCGTTCCTAAGACCACGTCGGTAAACAAATTCGTCGCTAAGTGAGGAGCATACTATAATGGTAGTGGGTTTGTGTCAACCATCTTTGTTATGGTTTTAATGTCAGCTTTTCACCATTTATAACATTTCTGGTATATTTTTAAATGTTTATATGTCCTGTCTAAGGGCAATGTGTGGTGTAAATATTATGCAGAAAATTCGGAGTGTGGAAATTAGGAAAAGATGTGAAGTTAATAAAAGTATTAGAGGGCAGAAGAGGGGTTGTTGAGGTGGTTTGGTCATTTAGAGAGAATGGATCGAAGTAGAATGACATGGAAAGCATATAAATCTATAGGGGAAGGAAGGCGGGGTAGGGGTCGTCCTCGAAAGGGTTGGAGAGAGGGGGTAAAGGAGGATTTGTGGGCGAGGGGCTTGGACTTCCAGCAAGCGTGCGTGAGCGTGTTAGATAGGAGTGAATGGAGACAAATGGTACTTGGGACCTGACAATCTGTTGGAGTGTGAGCAGGGTAATATTTTGTGAAGGGATTCAGAGAAACCGGTTATTTTCATATAGTCGGACTTGAGTCCTGGAAATGGGAAGTACAATGCCTGCACTTTCAAGGAGGGGTTTGGGATATTGGCAGTTTGGAGGGATATGTTGTGTATCTTTATACGTATATGCTTCTAAACTGTTGTATTCTGAGCACCTCTGCAAAAACAGTGATAATGTGTGAGTGTGGTGAAAGTGTTGAATGATGATGAAAGTATTTTCTTTCTTTTTTGGGTCACCCTGCCTCGGTGGGAGACGGCCAACTTGTTGAAAAAAAAAAAAAAGTTTATACAGCAGTGTACTGTATATTGTAATAAAAAGAATTGAGGAAATCAGCTTTAATATACATTATTTAGGTATGCATACTGGTCAGAGAGCCCGTCGTAAGTCCAAGTCGTCAGTAAATGAGTATGTCTTTAAGTGAGGAGAAGCTGTATAAAATCAGGGACTCGTCTATGACAACATTCTTGAATGGATAAAAGTATTCAATGAATTTATGTTTCTGATACAAAATCACTTCCAGTATTTTGTAGAGTAAATCATTTTTTCTGAGGATTGATTTTATCAGAGAAATGCAGCATCCACAGTAACAAGATAAATCAACCAATGGGCTTTATTTCACTGAAGGCTGGTGTTGCTATAAGTCTGCCTGTACTTCAATATATTATTCTTATGGGTGTGTGGCATCAGCATTAATGTTCAAAAAGATAAAATTCAGCTCTGCAACATGATTTCTGTGAAACATAAAAGTTGGCCATCATGTGCTTGTAATAGTTGTGTGTTTGGGTAACAATAATAGTCATCAGTGTGTCACTGAAAAATAAGTTCAGTGGAATCATCTATTTAGACTATTTGGCTGAATTTAACTATTATTATCATGAAATTGTGAAACATTTGGCACAAATGAAGTACTTTCCTGCTTGCTCCACACCCTGCTGGTTAGTAGGTTCATAATATTTGTTGGTGGTGTCTCAGCTGGTGGTGCTGTCATGGCTGATGGTGTCACAGCAGGTCTTGACATGGGTGGTGGTATTGTCACTGGTGTTCGTGTTCACATGACTGATGATAGTGTCACCACTGTTGGTGCTGTCATGGCTGCTGTCACAGATGGTATTGGTGCTGCATGTGGTTTTCTGATACCAATGAAAGCACAATCAATGTGAAAATCACTATCACTATCTCCTGCAACAGTATCATCCTCTCTAGGTATGTTACCATACAACAATTAAACAGCACACAAGTGAGAGCCAGACCTAGTGTGATGCTGCACTGGCGTTCATTTTATGGGTGAATATCCTCCATCACTATTGATTCCGTGCTCTCCTCCTTATACATATACTCCTCTTTCACTATCATCATCAACATCACTCCAACCACTATCCAATTCAGGGGTAAAGAGCCACTGGCATCTACGATGTCGTGTGGCAAGACCAAAGGTGGACAGCAATATATCTTACGATGAACTGACACTTCTTTCACTCCTGGTAGCACCACCAATGCTGTCCCTTTCCAAACTAGAAAATCCTCCCCAATTATCACCCTCCTCAATGTCACTGGTGTGACTTGAACAGCATTTCCTGGATTTCACTGCAAGAAAGGTTGGTGCATTGGCCAGGCATTGAAAGACTAAGTTTACTAGGTGGTATAACCCATGATGCCCCCACACATACTCATGCAGCCTGCATTTTTTCCTAGGAAGCACAGGGTTGCTAGCAACCCAAACAATGCAGCCGAGGCCTAAAATGTCAATGCACGGAAAATGTGAGGCCTAAAAAAATTGTGCATACTCGTACATCACACATACTATCATAACTTACACATAGTACATTGGACAAATGCTTAACACACAAGAAAAAGCAGAAATACTCCAGAAATCTGAAAAGGGAATACAGTGGACCCTCGCCTAACGATACCATCGCATAATGTTAAATCTGCCTAGCGATACATTTTAACGCAAAAAATTTGCCTCGCCTAGTGCTAAAAAACTCGCTCAACGCGATTCGTCCGAGACGCGTCCACGTGCGGCCTGAGCCAGCCTCACTTGTTCCGTGGGTGGCAGTGTTTACAAGCCAGCCTCCACGGTCACATTCAAGTATACAATCGGAACATTTCATATTATCGCAGCGTTTTTAGTGATTTCACCTGCAAAATAAGTGACCATGGGCCCCAAGAAAGCTCCTAGTGCCAACCCTGTGGTAAAAAGGGGTGAGAAATACTATCGTACCACAGTCAGCTGCTGCTGCACCACCTTCAGCTGTTGCTGGACCAGTCAGCTGTTGATGCACCACAGCTGCTGCTGCACCACAGTCAGCTGCTGCTGCACCTCGGTCAGCTGTTGCTGCACTACAGTCAGCTGCTGCTGCACCACAGCTGCTGCTGCACCATGGTCAGCTGTTGCTGCACCACAGTCAGCTGTTGCTGCACCACCATCAGCTGTATTACTTGAAGATGTGGAGTGTGTTGTTGGTATGGCTTAACATGAAACAATTACTGAGAAACGATTAACCCCAGAGGGTTAGCCACCCAGGATAACCCAAGAAAGTCAGTGCATCATTGAGGATTGTCTAACTTATTTCCACTGGGGTCCTTAATCTTGTCCCCCAGGATGCGACCCACAACAGCTGACTAACACCCAGGTGAACAGGAAAAAATGCCTGGAACTAGTGCTCATATTGGTGAGGTTAGTGGGGAGGATGTGGAAGAGTTGGTGGAGGAGGACAATGAAGAACTAACCACTGATGAGCTGCTACATCATCTTCAACAGCAAGAGGCCAGACCTGAGGAAACTGCTTCGGAGGAGGGGAGAGAGAAATTGAAGAAGTTGCCTACTTCAAAGATTAAGGAAATGTGTGCAATGTGGCTTAAAGTGCAAACCTTTTTTGATAAAAATCACCCTGACACAGCTATTGCAAGCCGTGCTGGTGACTATTACACTGACAATGTTGTGAAACACTTTAGGAAAGTCATAAAGGAACGAGAGATACAGGCCTCTATGGACAGATATGTTGTGTGACAGAGGTCCAGTGACTCTGAAGCTGGTCCTAGTGGCATTAAAAGAAGAGAAGTAACCCTGGAAAAGGACTTGCTACCTCAAGTCCTAATGGAAGGGGATTCCCCTTCTAAACACTAAGACCAACCACACACTCCCCTCCTCCCATCCCATCAATCATCACCAGATCTTCAATAAAAGTAAGTGTCATGTATTGTACATCTCTTCTTCAGTTTGTGTGTATTAAAATTAATATTTCATGTGGTAAAAAAAAAATTCTTTCATACTTTGGGGTGTCTTGCACGGATTAATTTGATTTCCATTATTTCTTATGGGGAAAATTAATTCGCCTAACGTTGAGCTCTTAGGAACTGATTAATATCGTTAGGCGAAGGTCCACTGTAACTGCAAGAGCTGTATATGAAAGGTATGGTGTGCCATCATCCATGACAGAAACTATTCAACCTGCTACCAGCAAGTATTAGAAATATTAACAGAATAAACGTACAAGTTTTCAAAATGGCTATATGAGCCACCATCAACAGCAGCTTGGATGAACAGCCAATCAACAGAAAAGCCTGGCCCCAAGCTGGACTATAAAGGTAGAGAATTCTCAAAACTGGTCATAGGAATATCACAGGTAGGTAGGGCTTCTATTTTGATTTGAAAAACCAGTGTGAACAACTGCTAAGTGCTACTTAAGAGAGCACTTTATCCAAAATCCAGTGTACATAAAACTCTGCACTTTACTAAGTATGTATGTTATACTTTAGTGGTTTCAACAGAGGCATAATAAGAGCACTTTATACTTATTTCAGGACTGATCGCTAAAGGTTAAAGAATATACATGGCCTTTGTCATTTAAAGATTTGTGGTGAACAACTTTTGGCAGAAAGGGGATTGCTGAACAATACATAAAGGAACCCAAGTAATCACTTTAGCACTTAATAAATAACGAGGATACGACAGATATCAAATAAAATGCTTGCTGGTGAAACGAAGAAAGCAGTATGTGGAATTCAAATCTCTAAGGAGACGCTTACTGTGTTATTATGTAATACTGTAATGCTAGAGGGGCGCACACAAATGTAAATTCCCGGTTACAGAGAAGCTTTCTAAGCCTCATGCAGAAAGTGGTGTATAAACTAAGCTTGTTATTTACAAGGCAAATATAACGACAGTAAACCCTCCATATAATAGACTTAGGAAATGCAGAGCAAAATCCACCTGGTCAACTGATTAGGAAATAAAGGACAAAGTCCATTGGCTACACAACTGTTAACTATATTTGTTATCACAGGAAAGCAAACTCTTATATCCACCACAACTGCCATTACTGGCCACCCACTCCCACCTACTAGTCTACTATGTGGAGGGTGTATTGTACATGGTTCACTTAGGAAATAAACCGGTACAAGCATCATTTCGTACCTGAGGCTTGTGTACATTGTTGTGGAGTTTGCCTGCCTTCAGACTGTACAATTGCACTTCTCTTCGACAACTGCAATGCACACCCTCTCATGAAACAGCTGCAAGCAAAAAACGTGCTCCCTACATTCTTACCTCCAAATTGCTTTTCATTGATTAAGCAGATAGACCAAGGAGTCATCAAATCAATGAAAATTTATTACAAGAATAACTGGATGCTTTAATTTTTTACATTTTTGTCAGGACATGCAGATTGGATGACCTTAGGAAAAGAGTTTACAAATAAAGATGCTCTACAGAATCTTGTTTATGGTTGGGACAATGTTATGAAAGCCACAATGAACAATATCTAGCATAAAATGTCTCCACCAGGAACACTTCAAGACACTGGACACCAAGAAATAAGGTTAGAAGCAATCAGAGAGAGTGTGGCAGAGTTTGAGCCGTGTAAACAGGTGAACAGGATTACTGCATTGCTAGTGAATTCACTAATGATGATACAGTACAACTCTCTTATGGATGAATTGTGATAAAGAGCTGAGAAAACAATTTAATGACCCTGAAAGTGGTGAGTGAAGATTATCCTGGGAAATGAGGGTCATACACCTCTCAAAAGCTTTTCGAACAAGATGTTTCAGAAAAATTTAATGTTTCTCGTGAGATCAAAGAGAAGGTCATCAAGGAATAGTCAAAGTACATGAAACTGAAGATATTACAAATATGATTTCAGATGGTTGGAACAGACAGCTCCTCATCAAAACCAAATACTCCATACTAATCAAGCTTAAAGCCAGTTTTATCATTATCATCATGGATGAGCACTCAACAATTGAGGGACATACAACATCTGAGGAATGGGAAAGACAAGAGGTAATCAGATTTGATCTGAGGAAGGGTATGGTAGCTCCAATGATGTATATGGGCCCTTCACCCTTGAAGAGCAGATTTTAACATCTTTCTTCTTCATCAAATGTCACTCAAAAGTGCAGACACTCGTTTCCACTTCAAATTCTCCAGATGTAACTTCTGGTAACAACTCAATCAGCCTTATTGGCTAAAATCCTCACTAGTAAAAAATAGAATGTATTCTTTTAATAGTTATGGGGCTTGAACATCCAACAGGCTCATGTGAGCACACCAGACAAAAATGCAGGCAAGTGGTTTTTGCAACTTAACATGCTGTTGGAGTGTGAGCGAGGTAACATTGATGAAGGAATTTAAGGGAAACCACTTGACCAGACATGAGTCCTGGAGGTAAGAAGTACAGTGCCTGCACTCTGAAGGAGGGGTGGGGATCTTGCAGTTCAGAGGGCCATGTGAACAGAGATATTAGCATGCTTTTAGCAAGACAGTGGTTGAATGAGTGATGGCAATTTTTTTTTTTAAGGGAACCTTGGTAGATGACAAATGTTAAAAAATAAATAGTTATGGGTACTGTATGATACACTACATAAAGAATCTGTCTCCAGTACATAAAAACTTTTATAAAACAATTTAACCTATAGTGGATTTTCAGGGTTATCACAGCTTATGCCATACTGAGCATTTTTCTCAGTGTGGTGGCAGCTCTCAAAACCCCAGAGAGAAATGTCTGGGTTTCAAGCTTAATTTTCTTCTTCGGACCTCTATCACTAGTACAGTAAGTCCTCACTTTAACGTCATGCCCTCACTTAACGTCATCGATAAGTTTCTGGAAACTGCAACCTTAAGCAAAAAGATGTATAATGAAACCAATTTTATCATGGGCTAATTGTCCATTGTCAAACCTCTTAAAAAATTCTAATATTGTTTCTAAATGTCACACCTTTTCTCTGTTTTTTTTTTTTTGTGGCCACAGTCATCATGAGTGCTAAAGGTGCACCGTGCACCTTTAGCACTCACCGCAACAGGGTTAAATCAAGGAATAAATATATGCAAGGCAAAAATTGTAAGGAGCACCTCCTACCACCATATTGTTCAAAAACAAACAATAAATATTGTCATGCATTTGTATGATTATTGTATACTTTACAAATTTTTATTTTACGGTCCTTTGTATTAATTTTTCCTCATCAATGTTATAACTAAATGATGATGAATGAAACGACGTTATTCAAGGACCTGCTGTACCACCTTTGGGTCCTATGGTCAGTATCCAGAGGCAAAATGGGGGTAAGGGAGGTTTTGTGGGCGAGGGGCTTGGACTTCCAGCAGGAGTGCATGAGCGTGTTCGATAGGACTGAATGGAGACGAATGGTATTTGGGACCTGATGATCTGTTGGAGTGTGAGCAGGGTAATATTTAGTGAAGGGATTCAGGGAAACCGGTTATTTTTATATAGCCGGACTTGAGTCCTGAAAATGGGAAGTACAATGCCTGCACTCTAAAGGAGGGGTTCGGATATTAGCGGTTTGGAGGGGTATGTTGTGTATCTTTATACGTATATGCTTCTAAACTGTTGTGTTCTGAGCACCTCTGCAAAAACAGTGATTATGTGTGAGGTGAAAGTGTTGAATGATGATGAAAGTATTTTCTTTTTGGGGATTTTCTTTCTTTTTGGGTCACCCTGCCTTGGTGGAAGACAGCCGACTTGTTAAAAAAAAAAATTTTTATTTAATCACTGTTCTTCCGAAAGTGTGCTGACATCACAATTCAGATTACTCTCTGATTGCAATATCCTCACCCCTCCTTCAGAGTGCATGCACTGCCCTTCCCACCCAGGACTCAAGTCTGGCCAACTGAGTTTCCCTGAATCCCTTCATAAATGTTACTTTGCTCACACTCTAACAGCATTTCATGTCACAAAAATATCACTCGCCTCCACTCTCTTCAATGTAATGTGCTCAAGCAAAGCCTGTCAAATGTTCAAGCCCTAGCACTCAAAATCTCCCCTACCACCTCTCTCCATCCCAGAGGTAACCTCTACCCCTCCTATGTTGCTCCATCCTCTGTAAATGCCCAAACCACCTCAACAACCCCTTTTTGGTCCTTTGAATTACACCTTTGGTAATTCCACATCATCTTATAAACTCCATACTCCAAATTCTCTGCAATGATATTCTCACTACACATTGCCCTCAAACCTGACATCTCCACTGCCTCCAGCCTCCTTCCCCACAGCAATATTCCAAATTCCATGCTTCACACTCATATAACAGTGTCAGTACCACTATACTCTGGTACATTTCCCTGTTTGCCTTCATGGATTAAGTTTTGTCTCCACTGATGCCTCAGCTCCCCCCCCACCTTGTTTTCCCCTCTTCCATTCTATGGTTTAACACGTCTTTCATGGACCCATCCACCCACACATCCACTCCCAATTATTGGAGCACACTTACTTCAAACCACCACTCTTCAATCTGATATAAAGTCTTTCACTGCCTAGACTTTTTGTCACTCATCTGTAGGTACTTTTGAATAAAGATCTGTATTTGAATGTTGTTAACTTGAGAGTTGTATTCTTTAGTTAGCTTAATCCTCTGTGTTGGATCTGTACTCATGTACTAACATTTTGACATTTGGGTTTTAGAGTTTGCATTCACTAGCTCGTAATATTTGTTTTACTTTTAAAGAAAAATTTTCTTCTGTTTTTTAGCACATCAGCCAACTTCTATCAAGGAAGGTTGACTCATTCAATAGCTGTCTTGTCCAAAATGAGCAAACTTTACAATCCAAATTACCCTCTGAACTGCAACACCCCCAATTCCACCTCCAAGACTCAAGTTTTGCTAATCAGTTTTTCCTAATCCCTTCCTAAATGTTACCTTGCCTGCATTCCAATGGTATATCAGGCCATAAAATCCACTCATCTCAATTCACTCCTATGCAAAATGCTCACACAAGACTGCACAAGCCCATAAAACTCAAGGCTCCTTTACCTCCTCCTCCCTCCAACTCCTCTCTGGCAAGCTCCTACACCTCTTTCTTTTCCCCCACATTTATAAACCCTATTGGTCATCCTATTCTGCTCCATCCTCTCTAGTGCCTAAATTAAATTAACAACCCCTCCTAACCCCTCTGAATTATATTTTTGGTAACCCCTAAGGTATAATACTGTTTTCAATATTTTCTTCTCAATATTTATATGCATGAACTATGCTAACTTAATTTCAACTCATTTGAAATTCATACACGAAATACCACAACACACATCTAATAACTTTTTGTTGAAAAAGCCTATTACATATATTCTTCTTCTTTCAACAAACCGGCCATATCCCACCGAGGCGGGATGGCCCAAGAGAAAAAACGAAAGTTTCTCCTTTTAAATTTAGCAATATATATACAGGAGAAGGGGTTACTAGTCCCTTGCTCCCGGCATTTTAGTCGCCTCTTATGACACACATGGCTTACGGAGGAAGAATTCTGTTCCACTTCCCCATGGAGGTATTACATATATGTTTTACTTTAATTAACATATCTGTGGTAATCTCCATAAACTTTTGTATCCAGATAAATAAGTAATAACAAATGGATTGGTCCTCATCTGAAGTATCTGCCATTCTGATCCACCAGGATCCAAATATGCAGTCCATTTTATGAGGCATTAAAACAAGAAAGTAGCGAGCAACATTTCTGAATGGAAAAGTAAACCCCATGAGAGAATCCACAAAATATAACAGATTTGGAAAGCATACTTATATAAGCCTTCCTGAAGATTTGTCAATTATTGTCACTTTCCAGAGGGAAAGTTCCTAGGGCCCAATGAAGCAAAAGCAACAAATATATGGCAGTTTGGAGGGATATGTTGTGTATCTTTATACGTATATGCTTTTAAACTGTTGTGTTTTGAGCACCTCTTGCAAAAACAGTGATTATGTGTGAGTGAGGTGAAAGTGTTGAATGATGATGAAAGTATTTTCTTTTTGGGGATTTTCTTTCTTTTTGGGTCACCCTGTCTCGGTGGGAGACGGCCGACTTGTTAAAAAAAAAAAAAAAAAAAAAAAAAAAAAGACAATTATTCATGGTATTCTATGGTAAACTTATAATTTCATTTTCTGACTTCAAAACTAAAAGGCTACAAGAAATTCCTTACCAAAACAGTTCTTACAGGTAATAATGGATATCCATCTCTTGCAGGACTCTGTGCATTTCTGTAATTACTGTTATTACTTCGACCCATCCCTCGATTAGAATAATTTCTGAAAAAACAAAAACACAGTACATTAGGTAAAATAAACTATATTATTGTAAATAATATGTATACCAAATTGAAGCAATATACTTTGCAGTCATGTAATACAGAACCAACTATTTTTTTCACCATACTGGCCATTTTCCAACAAGGCAGGGTGATCCAAGAACACTTTCAACATTGTTCATTCAATAGCATTTTTGGACATAATAAATGAAATCACTCTCTGAACTGCAACAGCCCATCCTATACTTCAGAGGACAAACACTGTACTTCCCACCTTAAAAAATAAGGTACAACTAACCAGTTTCTTGTAATCCCTTTAAAAATGTTACCTTGCTCCCATTCTGACATCAAGTCAAATACCAAAAATCCCTTTGTCTCCATTTGCTCCAATCTAGCCTGAAAAAGAGATAGACAAAGAGAGAGTGAGAAGAGAAAGATCAGGAATACACTGCAGCTATTTAAATGTCCTAGTGACATAGATGGGTTGTAAATGGGATGCCAAACAAACAAAGATAGGCAGTATCTATCATATTCCACTAAAATATATAGAGACACTGCAACTGATCAAAGTAGAATGACATGGAGAGCATTTAAATCTGTAGGGGAAGGAAGGCGGGGTAGGGGTCGTCCTCGAAAAGGTTGGAAGGAAGGGGTAAGGGAGGTTTTGTGGGCGAGGGGCTTGGACTTCCAGCAGGCGTGCATGAGCGTGTTTGATAGGAGTAAATGGAGACGAATGGTATTTGGGACCTGATGATCTGTTGGAGTGTGAGCAAGGTAATATTTAGTGAAGGGATTCAAGGAAACCAGTTATTTTTATATAGCCGGACTTGAGTCCTGGAAATGGGAAGTACAATGCCTGCACTCTAAAGGAGGGGTTTCAGGATATTAGCAGTTTGGAGGGATATGTTGTGTACCTTTATACGTATATGCTTCTAAACTGTTGTGTTCTGAGCACCTCTGCAAAAACAGTGATTATGTGTGAGTGAGGTGAAAGAGTTGAATGATGATGAAAGTATTTTCTTTTTGGGGATTTTCTTTCTATCCCTACCCATAGAGGCACCCGTTCAGTGGGGTAAAATCAGGTTCCTAACCAATTATAAACCTGAGAAGAGTGAGGGACAGTTTCTAAGACAACTTAAGAAATGTCAGAAATAGTGCAAAAGAGGATCTCCTTATACAGCCATATAACATGACAGTAGTCCACTACTTCCCCTGGATGGTTGCTGTCTCCTACCCTAACATATACAGTACTTTATGTCATGTGAAGTCATTTTCTTCATTTTCAGAAAAACAAATTGCTCGCATTCATCCTGGTGGTGAAGAAATTTGGTAACAGTAGTACTTACAGATAATGTTCCTCCCACTTATATAGTGTAATTTTTTACAATGTTAAGTATCATTTGCACTGAACACTTTGCCTTTTAAGAGTTCATCTTAGATGATATTTATCTTGAACCACGATTAACCTAGCCATAAGTTTTGAAGGAAAACTTAAGTTAAATGCTGGCCTCGCCTCAAATTCACATTAACTGACATGCAATACAAGTCTCAGCCCACCCAGAAATATTGCCCATGCAATGATAGGTTATCAATGCTGCTTCCTGACAGTGACTCAAACCTCAGTGGTGGTATATTCACCACAAAAATGAAGGACTTAAAAGTTCAATCCCAACTGAGTTGACATGTAAAGCCTGTTATACAAGCCACAAGCTTTGAGCTTTCCTATCCTTGTAGCCAAGCTTGGAGGCCAGTTTCTTTTTTTTTTATGCTCCTTCCCCAAACCTCACTACCTTACATCAGCTGGGGTTGAATTTATGCAAATATGCATTCAACCAGCTTTGCAGCTTATCCAGTTCAACTTGTAGCCTTTCCCTAGCCATATCTGATTTTATTCTCCTCTTTAGTTGTACATCAGCAAACAGGGATATACCTGATTCAATCCAAACTGGCATGTAATTCACCTAAACCTGCATGTTAATACCTATGTTTGTTAAACTCCACTATTTACTCTTCCCTATTTTGATGTCTCTCCCCTGACAATCACTCCTTGTTTCCTTTCCCTTCATATTCCTTCACCATCTAGTAGGCTAGAATTATTTCCCCGTAAGTCATGCGTGTCGAAAAAGGCAACTAAAATGCTGGAAGTAGGAGGCTAGTGACCCCTTCTTCTGTATACAGCCACTAAAAAGACACAGCAGCAAATACTGAATTTCCTTGTTTAAGCCTAAAAGCATTTGTGGCATAGAAATTAAAAGAAGTGGGGTGACCAAGGGTATAATTCAGATGGCTAACGAGGGGTTGTAATGTTTTAGGCATATAGAGAATAGACGATAAAAAATAGGTTGACGATGATGATGTATAATCCTAGTGTGAAAGGTAGGACTGGTATGAGTCGTCCAATGAAGAGTTGGAGGGAGGGAGTAAAAGAGGCTACGAGTTTTAGAGACCTGAGCATCCAGCAGGCTTGTGTGAGTGTGAGAGGAATGAATGAAGAAAAGTGGTTTTTCAATGGAGTGTGAATAGAGTAACTTTCATAAAGAGACCAGACTTGCATCCTAAAGGTGGGATAGGTAGTGCCTGCATTCTGAAGGAGGGGTGGAGATATTGCAGTGTGAGGCTAATCTGATTGTGATGAAGATAGCAACTGAATGAATGATGGTGAAAGTGTTTTCTTCTTTGGATCACTCTGCCTTGGCAGGAGATGGGTGTCAATTTAAAAAAAAATTAATACAGTTTCATATATTTTCATATTTCATATTTAAGTTTGTGGTCACAGGAGGGTGGGTGCAGGAGGAAAGAGGAGTGATTGGTGGAATGATGAAGTAAAGGGTATGATAAAAGAGAAAAAGTTAGCTTATTAGAGGTATTTACAAAGCAAAAGTGTTATAAGAAGAGTAGAGTATATGGAGAGTAAAAGAAAGGTGAAGAGAGTGGTGAGAGAGTGCAAAAGGAGAGCAGATGATAGAGGGGGAGAGATACTGTCAAGGAATTTTAATGAAAATAAGAAAAAATTTTGGAGTGAGTTAAACAAGTTAAGAAAGCCTAGGGAACAAATGGATTTATCAGTTAAAAACAGAGAAGGGGAGTTAGTAGATAGGGAGATGGAGGTTTTGGGTAGATGACAAGAATATTTTGAGGAACTTTTAAATGTCGACGAAGAAAGGGAGGTGGTAATTTCATGCACTGGCCAGGGAGGTATATCATCTTTTAGGAGTGAAGAAGAGCAGGATGTGAGTGTGGGGGAGGTGCGTGAGGCATTACGTAGAATGAAAGGGGGTAAAGCAGCTGGAACTGACGGGATCATGACAGAAATGTTAAAAGCAGGGGGGGACATAGTGTTGGAGTGGTTGGTATTTTTGTTTAATAAATGTATGTTTAATAAATGTGGAGTTAATAAAAGTATTAGTCAGAGGGCAGAAGAGGGGTTGTTGAGGTGGTTTGGTCATTTAGAGAGAATGGATCAAAGTAGAATGACATGGAAAGCATATAAATCTATAGGCGAAGGAAGGCGGGGTAGGGGTCGTCCTCGAAAGGGTTGGAGAGAGGGGGTAAAGGAGGTTTTGTGGGTAAGGGGCTTGGACTTCCAGCAAGCGTGCGTGAGTGTGTTAGATAGGAGTGAATGGAGACGAATGGTACTTGGGACCTGACGATCTGTTGGAGTGTGAGCAGGGTAATATTTAGTGAAGGGATTCAGGGAAACCGGTTATTTTCATATAGTCGGACTTGAGTCCTGGAAATGGGAAGTACAATGCCTGCACTTTAAAGGAGGGGTTTGGGATATTGGCAGTTTGGAGGGATATGTTGTGTATCTTTATATGTGTATGCTTCTAGACTGTTGTATTCTGAGCACCTCTGCAAAAACAGTGATAATGTGCGAGTGTGGTGAAAGTGTTGAATGATGATGAAAGTATTTTCTTTTTGGGGATTTTCTTTCTTTTTTGGGTCACCCTGCCTCGGTGGGAGACGGCCGACTTGTTAAAATGTATGAAAGAGGGGAAGGTACCTAGGGATTGGTGGAGAGCGTGTATAGTCCCATTATATAAAGGGAAGGGGGACAAAAGAGACTAAAAATTATAGAGGAATAAGTTTACTGAGTATACCAGGAAAGGAGTACGGTAGGGTTATTATTGAAAGAATTAGAGGTAAGACAGCATGTAGAATTGCGGATGAGCAAGGAGATTTTAGAGTGGGTAGGGGATGTGTAGATCAAGTGTTTACATTGAAGCATATATGTGAGCAGTATTTAGATAAAGGTAGGGAAGTTTTTATTGCATTTATGGATTTAGAAAGGCATATGATAGGGTGGATAGGGGAGCAATGTGGCAGATGTTGCAAGTGTATAGAATATGTGGTAAGTTACTAAATGCTGTAAAGAGTTTTTATGAGGATAGTGAGGCTCAGGTTAGGGTGTGTAGAAGAGAGGGAGACTACTTCCCGGTAAAAGTAGGTCTTAGACAGGGATGTGTAATGTCACCATGGTTGTTTAATATATTTATAGATGGGGTTGTAAAAGAAGTAAATGCTAGGGTGTTCGGGAGAGGGGTGGGATTAAATTATGGGGAATTAAATACAAAATGGGAAGTGACACAGTTACTTTTTGCTGATGATACTGTGCTTATGAGAGATTCTAAAGAAAAATTGCTAAGGTTAGTGGATGAATTTGGGAATGTGTGTAAAGGCAGAAAGTTGAAAGTGAACATAGAAAAGAGTAAGGTGATGAGAGTATCAAATGATTTAGATTCTAAAGAAAAATTGCTAAGGTTAGTGGATGAATTTGGGAATGTGTGTAAAGGTAGAAAGTTGAAAGTGAACATAGAAAAGAGTGAGGTGATGAGAGTATCAAATGATTTAGATAAAGAAAAATTGGATATCAAATTGGGGAGGAGGAGTATGGAAGAATTGAATGTTTTCAGATATTTGGAAGTTGACGTGTCAGCAGATGGATTTATGAAGGATGAGGTTAATCATAGAATTGATTAAGGAAAAAAGGTGAGTGGTGCATTGAGGTATATGTGGAGGCAAAAAATGTTATCTATGGAGGCAAAGAAGGGAATGTATGACAGTATAGTAGTACCAACACTCTTATATGGGTGTGAAGCTTGGGTTGTAAATGCTGTTGCGAGGAGGCGGTTGGAGGCAGTGATGTCCTGTCTAAGGGCAATGTGTGGTGTAAATATTATGCAGAATATTCGGAGTGTGGAAATTAGGAGAAGGTGTGGAGTTAATAAAAGTATTAGTCAGAGGGCTGAAGAGGGTTTGTTGAGGTGGTTTGGTCATTTAGAGAGAATGGATCAAAGTAGAATGGCATGGAGAACGTATAAATCTGTAGGGGAAGGAAGGCGGGGTAGGGGTCATCCTCGAAAAGATTGGAGGGAGGGGGTAAAGGTGTTTGGACTTCCAGCAAGCGTGCGTGAGCGTGTTAGATAGGAGTGAATGGAGACGAATGGTATTTGGGACCCGACGATCTGTTAGTGTGAGCAGGGTAATATTTAGTGAAGGGATTCAGGGAAACCGGTTATTTTATATAACCGGACTTGAGGGGTTTGGGATATTGGCCGTTTGGAGAGATACATTGTGTATTTTTATACGTATATATTTCTAAACTGTTGTATTCTGGGCACCTCTGCAAAAACTGTGATTATGTGTGAGTGAGGTGAAAGTGTTGAATGATGATGAAAGTATTTTCTTTTTGGGGATTTTCTTTCTCTTTGGGTCACCCTGCCTCGGTGGGAGACGGCCGACTTGTTGAAAAAAAAAAAAAATTATGGAATGTGCTGAACCCATATGGCTCATATCACTTATCTCAACATACTTAGGGGCGTAATTTGGCGGTGGTGGATAAGAGCCTTGGGGTGTTCTTGAACGTGGTGAGTGACCGTGATGTGTTGGGCTGCTAGCTACTCGCCCTCTCATACCAGTAGCATTGCTGGGACCCTGAAAAGGAAGCAATTGCATAAAGTTAAAAAATTTTTTGTTTAATAATATTCCAATGTACATCTTTGATTAAAGCAAGTGATCTGTACGAAGTCTTCTCCTAGTACACATACAACAATGCACACTGTGGAATACTGAGACTGATAACTTTGTACTTAACTTCCATCAACCCTTAAACTGTGCAAGATAAACACAGCAGCATATTTAATCCACAGTTTAAGGGCTAAATAAAGCAATGGATGACCTAGAATTAGACTGTAGTTTGTATGGAATGGAATATTTAACCTATATAAAATTACTAGATCAAGTACAATGCATTTCATAAACATCAGGCAACTGAATACTCTATTCTAATATTTACATGCATGTTGGGAAGGGAGCCCTAAACCCATTGGGGTTATGCAGAGCCTGGAAGAATGGGGAGCAATCAGGTTCAATCCAAGAAAAGGAAGATCAAATCTAATTCCTTGGTTCAAGAACCCCTTACTAGCATCTTTTTGCTAGCATCTTTTGCTTTACACACACACGCACACAACCTAGATCAAGGAATAACAACTTTATCTCTGTACCCAATAATTATCATTTAAATTCAGTATCTTAAATGAGCCAGGTTTACACTCTGCACCCAAACTGGTGACAATTTTAACTGAATGTCCATTGTAACCTCCCCCCCCCCCCCCCAAAAAAAAAAATCAGACAATCCAACCTCTCAGTTTTTTAAGGAATTTGTGAGAAAATGCAGGCTCAATATTTTACAGTAGGCCCCACACTGCCAGACATTAACCCTTTCAGGGTCCAAGGCCCAAATCTGGAGTCACGCACCAGTGTCCAAGAATTTTCAAAAAAAAAATTTGTTATTTTTTCTTATGAAATCGTAGAGAATCTTTTTAGAAGGTAATAAAACAAAAAGTACGAAATTTGGTGGAAAATTGACGAAATTATGCTCTCGCGAATTTTGATGTGTCAGCGATATTTACGAATCGGCGATTTTGCCGACTTTGACTCCCATTTTAGGCCAATTACATTATTCCCATCAACCAAATTCTTAGCTATTTCACTAGTATTACTTCTATTCTATCGATTGAGCACAAGAAATCGCCAAGTCAACTGTTTCAACTACAAAATAAAGTGATCAGAAATTGTTAATTTGGCCAATTTAACACAAAGTTCAAAATATTCCAATTTCAAAATAGGTCCAGAATGAACAATGTAGGCATTCCTGGCACTAAACTAACATTTCCTCTGTTCATTAGTTATGTTTTGAGGCTTTACAAATAAATTCCATTTTGATTTTTTATTCACATAATGAATTTTTATTCACACCAAAAAATAGAAGATTTACTGTTATGCAATACTGTAATAATGTATAAATATCATCACCATATTTGTGAATGTATATTAGACCCACCAGCTGGTGTGTATTAGACGTGTGAGGTCGTTTGTTTACTCTTGAATATCGGCAAAAATTTAACATTTCTGCTACTTTGAGCTCAGTTTCAAGCCATTTCCAGTGCTAAAACCAATCAAAATCATCTCTATTTCTGTAATATGTCTTCCATTCTATCAATGAGACCAAGAAATCTCAAATACAACTATAAAAAACATACGAAAAAACACTGCAAAGTTGCTGTTTTAATCGAAAAATCATGATTTCATTTTTTTTCTCTCATTATACACAGTGTGCTGCAGGATCTGTTTTATGTGGTGCACACATACCACATAGATGTATTCTCTCATATCTAGGCCCAAATGTACCACTCACAGTTTATCAGAGTGAGCTGAGCTCATGGCGTAGATCTACGGTTTGGACCCTGAACGTAAAGCCGTAGATCTACGGGACGGACCCTGAAAGGGTTAACTACCTCTTTTGTTCATATTTTGTAAGTGTCAACATAATTATACATAAATAAAGGTTAACAGTTTGTGAAATTGACCAAACATAACCTAAAAAAGTTTTTTTTATATAGTTTAAAAGCACAGAAATAAACAAAAGAGTAATTCAACAAAAAAATGCAAGCCTGAACTGGAAGACAGGTTATACTGTGTGTTATAGTACAGGGTAAAATATTTCCCATCCTCAGTGTTTGGTGATTTTGATAACATGTTCAAAAATCCCATTTGCCACTGCCTTCCCTTTCCCCATAACTTTATAAAACCCTGGAACCAACCCTGAGTATATTTAGTCATCTAGTAAATGATCACAGATCAGTTTACAGTAAAAAAAATTTTTTTTAACACAACCGTCTCCCACCAAGGTAGAATGATCCGAAAAAGACACTATCATCATCACTCACTCTATCGCTGTCTCACCAGAGGTGCACCAATACTACAGATCAGATGCTCACTCAAACTGTAATATCCCCAGCCCAGTTTCATAGTGCAGGTACTATTTTCTACCTCCAGGGCTAAAGTCCAGCTAATCTGTTTCCCTGAATCAATTCATAAACATTACTTTGCTCATGCTCCAACACCACATAGTCATATAAACCACTCACTATCTAACATGTTCACACATGCCTGTTGGACATTCAAACCCCTCCAGTATATGTATATGTACAAATATTATTTTTTTTATTATTATCACACTGGCCTATTCCCACCAAGGCAGGGTGGCCCGAAAAAGAAAAACTTTCACCATCATTCACTCCATCACTGTCTTCAGAGTGCAGGCACTACTTCCCATCTCCAGGACTCAAGTCCGGCCTGCCGGTTTCCCTGAACCCCTTCATAAATGTTACTTTGCTCACACTCCAACAGCACGTCAAGTATTAAAAACCATTTGTCTCCATTCACTCCTATCAAACATGCTCACGCATGCCTGCTGGAAGTCCAAGCCCCTTGCACACAAAACCTCCTTTACCCCCTCCCTCCAACCTTTCCTAGGCCGACCCCTGCCCCGCCTTCCTTCCACTACAGACTGATACACTCTTGAAGTCACTCTGTTTCGCTCCATTCTCTCTACATGTCCGAACCACCTCAACAACCCTTCCTCAGCCCTCTGGACAACAGTTTTGGTAATCCCACACCTCCTCCTAACTTCCAAACTACGAATTCTCTGCATTATATTCACACCACACATTGCCCTCAGACATGACATCTCCACTGCCTCCAGCCTTCTCCTCGCTGCAACATTCATCACCCATGCTTCACACCCATATAAGAGCATTGGTAAAACTATACTCTCATACATTCCCCTCTTTGCCTCCAAGGACAAAGTTCTTTGTCTCCACAGACTCCTAAGTGCACCACCCCACCCTTTTCCCCCATCAATTCCATGATTTACCTCATCTTTCATAGACCCATCCGCTGACACGTCCACTCCCAAATATCTGAATACATTCACCTCCTCCATACTCTCTCCCTCCAATCTGATATCCAATCTTTCATCACCTAATCTTTTCGTTATCCTCATTACCTTACTCTTTCCTGTATTCACTTTTAACTTTCTTCTTTTGCACACCCTACCAAATTCATCCACTAACCTCAGCAGCTTCTCTTCAGAATCTCCCAAGAGCACAGTGTCATCAGCAAAGAGCAACTGTGACAACTCCCACTTTATGTGTGATTCTTTATCTTTTAACTCCACGCCTCTTGCCAAGACCCTCGCATTTACTTCTCTTACAACCCCATCTATAAATATATTAAACAACCACGGTGACATCACACATCCTTGTCTAAGGCCTACTTTTACTGGGAAATAATTTCCCTCTTTCCTACATACTCTAACTTGAGCCTCACTATCCTCGTAAAAACTCTTCACTGCTTTCAGTAACCTACCTCCTACACCATACACCTGCAACATCTGCCACATTGCCCCCGTATCCACCCTGTCATACGCCTTTTCCAAATCCATAAATGCCACAAAGACCTCTTAGCCATATCTAAATACTGTTCACTTATATGTTTCACTGTAAACACCTGGTCCACACATCCCCTACCTTTCCTAAAGCCTCCTTGTTCATCTGCTATCCTATTCTCCATCTTACTCTTAATTCTTTCAATAATAACTCTACCATACACTTTACCAGGGATACTCAACAGACTTATCCCCCTATAATTTTTGCACTCTCTTTTGTCCCCTTTGCCTTTATACAAAGGAACTATGCATGCTCTCTGCCAATCCTAGGTACTTTACCCTCTTCCATACATTTATTAAATAACTGCACCAACCACTCCAAAACTATATCCCCACCTGCTTTTAACATTTCTATCTTTTTCCCATCAATCACGGCTGCCTTACCCCTTTCATTTTAACCTACTGCCTCACAAACTTCCCCCACACTCACAACTGGCTCTTCCTCACCCCCACGAAAAACAGTATAAAAAATGTTCAAAAGCCATGCTAAGAAACCTTCCTATCATGTTGATTTTATTTGCACTCTTTTTTTTTTTTTTTTAAACAAGTGGGCCCCTTCCCCCACCGGGGCAGGGTGCCCCAAAAAAGAAAAAAAAATCCCCAAAAAAAAAAATCCCTTTCATAAATCGTTCAACATCCCCTCACTCACACATAATCAGGCTTTTGCAAGGTGTCAAAACTAGTTTAGAATTTTTATAAGAAAAACGATCCCACAAAAATACCCCTCCAACTGCTAATACCCCAAAAACCCCCCCTTTAGGTGCAGGCATTTTTATTTTCCCTTTTTCCGGGAACCCCAAGTCCGGCATATAAAAAAAAACCGGGTTTTCCCCCTGAATCCCTTCACTAAATTTTCCCCCTTGCTCACGCCCCAAACAGATCATCGGGGTTCCCAAATCCCTTCCCCCCCATTCACTCCTATAAAAACCCGCTCATGCACGCCTGCTGGGCCCAAGCCCCTCCCCCAAAAAAGCCTCCTTTCCCCCTTTCCCTTTCCCAAACCCTTTTTTGGGGACAAACCCCTACCCCCCCTTTCCTTCCCTACAGTTTTAAAAATGCTCTCCATGTCATTCATTTTCGACCCCTTTCCCTCTCTAAAGGGCCAAAAAAACCCTTTCAAAAAAAACCCTCTTCAGCCCCTGCT